CCCTCGCCCGCTGCACTTGAGGGTTTTTTTTCTACCTAGGTACCTCTGTGGGAGAGGAGGTGGGAATAGCTGCAAAAGGGGTGAGCTTTGAATTAGTAATGGGGAAGCTGTGATTTTTTTTTTCTTTTTTTTTTTGTTCTTTGAGTGCTCAGTCCTTTGGCACAGCTACGACCTTCAGCCTGGTAATGTCTCCTCGGGTGATATAAGCTATGATTGTGAGCAGGATGAGGGCAACCACCTGAAGATCTGCAGCTGGTAAGGAAGGACCTAGTGGTTTGAGCCAGCAGGTGGCTGGCTGGGTTGCAGATGCACTGACCCTCCTTGCACCCTTTCTGCAGTGACCCAGATTGGGTTCTCCCCAATTTTGCTGCAGTCGGCCCATCGAGCCCCCCCCGGTAGCCCCACAGCGATGGAGCACCCCTGCCCACCCTGGCTGAAGCAGTTCGACAAGCCGTCCCGCCTCCTGCTCCACGCGCTCGCGTCGGGCTCGTCTGGGGCTCTGGCTGCTCTACAAGTGCTGCAGCGTGGTCAGGCCGGCGAGGGACCTGGGCAGGCGTTTTCCTGGCAGGCTTTCATGGCAGTTCTGTGCTCGGAGGAGGCCACGCTGGAAGGGCCAGAGAAGACCCTGGCTGTGTGAGTTGGCCACATGTCCAATGCTCCTTGGGCCTTCCCGGTGCAGTGTGGGTGGTTTGACGTGTTGGGTACCCAATTCTGCAACGTGCATCCTCTTCCCTCTGGTGCAATGGTCAAAATGGGAAGTCAGGATGCTAGCAGGAGGCCTGTTGGTCTTGCAGGCCATATCTGCAAAAGCTGGTGTAGGTGTTGACTGTGTTCTGTCACGTTTTAGCCCATTTAGACCCTGTCCTATAGGACAAGTTAACACATAAGGACTCAGACCCTTGCTGGGCTTTGCTCTGACATGTCTCTCTCCCTTTTTTCCTCCTCTTTAGCAAGCCGCTGCTGCTGCTTCTCCCTGTTGTGTGTCAAAGAAACCTCTTCTCTCTGCTGCACGCGGTGCAAGCCGTGGTGCCGAAGGATTGCCTCAGCCGGCTGCTTCAGGCCGTGAGACAGGATCCTGGCGTGGATCCTTGGGTGCGAACGCTGGGAGATCTGCTCCAGCAGGGGCTGAGGGGAGAGGAGAGGTCCCTATCTCCCACTCCCCTGACGGATGCGTGCCAACAGCAGCTTAGGCGCCTGTGCCAGAAAATTGTGGGCAATGACCAGAGCAAACCAGAGGGGCAAAGGAGACTGAACTGGTGCATCAGCAGATGGCCTAGCCCTGCTGAGCACACTGGTGACTCCCTATCCCAAGGTGGGAAGCGCAAGAAAGTGTCAGAAGAAAGCCTGGAGTTGAAAGAGGAGAGACATGGGAAAAGGTTGCTGCTGGAAGAAGCTGGATTTGAGCTGTACCTCCCGGGACCCCAAGAGGAGCTGCCTGGGGAGACATCAGGGGACAGAGCTGCTCAGAGCCCGGTTGGGTCTGCTCTGGAAAGTTCACAGCAGGATGCAGCCATGGAGCAGAGTGAGGCCAGGCAGAACTCGCAAGCGGAGCTGGCAGCGGAGGTCCAGTCCTTTCTTCAGGTACGGGGCGGCTTTTGAATCCCTTTGGTTTCTTGACCTTGCCCTGCCCTGCGCTGCCCTGCCCTGCCTAGCACAGCACTGCTGCAGACGTGGTTGTAGCCCTTGGAGCATCCTGCCATCGCCTGCAGCAGCCTCGTGAGCAGGGAGCTGAGCTGAGACCGATGGCAAACTGCAGTCTTCGTGGGGCTGTGGTGTCTTATTTTTAGAAGGGGTCGTGTTACTCTCCTTCCCTTTCAAAATGTGGGTGATGCAGGGCTGGTGCTTGGCACCATGTAGCCCTGCTGCCCAGCTTCAAAACAGAATGATGTGAGGAATTGCTCTGCAAATCAGGGGTGTCATTAGCTGACTTTTTAATTGGCCTCCCGATAGCCTTTTCCTGGAAATCAGGGAAGTACAATGAGCCAGCAATTCCCCACCAGAGTGGTTTGCTTTTGTCTTCCAGTCAGGGCACTTATTACTCCTTTAAAATCTAATTTTTGTCCCTTCATTTCATTTTCCCCAGATGCATGGACCAAGGCTGAAAATGCTGCTGCAGATGGAGTCCAATGTAAGTGGTTGCTTCTGCCTTTCTCTTTGGAGCAGATGGTCTAAACTGGCTCATTCCTGGGCCTCCAGAAGGGCTGGGAAAAGGAGGCAGGTTTCACAGGAAGGACTGGAGGGGGATCCAAAGACAGCCCAGCTGCTCCTTCCCTTAGGTATCAGCATGTGAGCCCACGTCCAACTCGCTAAGTTTCACTGTACGATGAGTAGTGCACCAGTGACCGTGTTTGGGGGGGTCAGTGTTGGCCAAACAAGGGAGGCAGTAAGGAGGAAACGAATCCTAGAGTTGTGGTTTATTTGATGGAGATTTGTTACCCAAAGAGTGCGTTTCCCTGCAGCGCTTGGAGCTGAGCATCCCGCCTGAGCTGCACATCCTGAACAACTGCTCTCCTGGCCAGGTGAGCATTAGCATCCTTGCGGCATCCACTGGGATGGGCCTGTGGGTGCGCGGTGCTGCAAAGGGCCTGCTGCTGGCCTTAATGTCCCCGTCCTCTCTGCCCCCACCAGCTTGAGGGGCTGTGCTCCTTCCTGCAGCTCTCCACCTGCCCAGAACATCTCCTGGTGCGTTTCTGCACGTGGCTGCTGGGTCTCACCCCTGATCTCAGCTACACCAGCGCGGCCATCCTGGCAGAGCAGCTCTTCTTCGCACGAGTAAGTGCCCTGGCAGAGGTTTCAGGTCGTGTCTCTCACCCACATCCTGATCTCCTGCCTTTTCTGTCCTTAGGTCCTAGCGCTCACCCAGCCACCCTCTCGCCACCTCATGGCTGCCCTTGCTTCGTTCTGCTCCAAGTACGCGCAGCCCTTCTGCCAAGTCCTGGTAGCTCCGGTTCTGCGGGAGCCCAGGGAAGGTGAGCTGGGCTTGTGCCCTCCTTTCAGCTGCCCTTGGAAGAGGTAGAGCTTGTTTTGGGAAGGAGCTGGAGAGGCTGTGGGCTGCAAATGGCTCCATCCAGCAGAAAAGGAAGCTCTAGCTGCAGAGATCTCTTGAGGATCGTTTATCACCTAAAACGTGCATTAGGAACTACAGAGGGCTAGTTTAACCTGGGAAGGTGAACACTTGGATGTTAGGATGGGAGATAGGTTAACAGATGTCTGAGATGAACAGAGTTGGGGAACGCAGCTGGTTTTCAGCATCAGCTCTCCTTGGAGAGCCATCCCTCTGCAGGCTTGGGGCTTCCTGCCAGCTGCTAATTCTGGGGCCAAAACTGCCCCGGGGGTGGCTCTGCTGGCACGAGAAAAGCGTCTGCATAAATCCTCACAAGGGCAGCGTCCCCCTTGGAGGGGGACCGGTGGTAGTTAAAACCTTGCTGCAGATGGACGAAGGAAGCTGAGTCTTCCCCACCTGTAGAAGGGACCTGATTTCTGGGTGTCCCGACTAGATCATACCCTGCTGGGTTGAGGGGGTGCTGGGAAGGCTTGGGTGCATCGCCTCGGATTTGGCAGCCTCTGGAGGCTCTGCCCCTCTGCTTTGCCCTTGCAGGTCTTGAGCAGACCAAGCTGGTGTGTGAGCTGGTGGAGGAGTGCCTGGAGCCAGAGTATGTGAGATTGGTGTTGAGGTAAGGGAATACAGGGGCAGAGCGTGTGGGACCGCCTGGCCACGGCCACTCGGGAGAGCCAGCGGGGCTGAGCGGTGTGGAACATCGAATGCTCGCAGCCTGGCTACGTCTCTTCTTTACCGTCCTTTGCAGCCAGGTCCTGGAGGTGCCTTTGTCCGAGAGGCTCCTGCCGGTTGTGCAGGCTGTGCTGGGGAGGCAGGTGAGGGGACACCTACCCCCCCCCCCCGTCCTCTGGGTTTCGTTGCTGACCCCAGCAGCGCTCAAAGAGCGCTGGAGCAAGGGCCTCTTCTCCTTTCTGCTCGCACCTCTCTTCCAGGAGGTGCTGCCCCCCGAGCTCTTTGATCTCCTGGTCCTCACTCTGTGCCAGCAGGCCCCAGCCTTTGCCACGTCGCTGAATTACGCCAAGCTGGTGACAGCTGTGCTCACCTTGTACCAAAGCCACGTGAGTAAGACCACCATTTAAGGCTAAGTGCTGAATTTTGGCTTTCTGGGGCTCTGGGTGCAGCAGACCGGACAGGAGTGAGCTGGGCCAAGGGTCTCTGGTAAGCTCCTGGGGATGCAGCTGTGCTCTTTGGGAGCTAGCAAAGCCTGCCAGGAGTGAAGGGAAGAGCACCGGCTGTGCTACGAGCCTCAGAGCCCAGCGGGGTCTGAGCCCTGTGCTCCTCTCCTTCCCAGGTCACAGCAGCCCATCGGAGCCGTCTGTCTGCCGCTCTGGGTCAGAGCAACGCAGCCCTGAAGAAGTCGCTGCAGGCTGTGCTGGAGGAAGCGCCTCCCAGGTGAAAATGCAAAAACGCATCCTCTTCTGTAGGGCTGGGTGGGCTTCCCGTGTGCCAGGCAGCTTGGAGCGGGGACGGGAGCATCTCTCCTCTCCTGTTTTGCGGCGTGTGATGGGAAACCGCCAAAATGCCAGTAGTTCCTGGGTGAGCTCCGATTTTTGTCCTCCTTCCAGGTGATGGTGGTGAAGGGGAGCAGCAAGGGAGACTGGTGCCAGCTTCCTTGTGCAGCGGGCGCTCTTTAGAGAGGCAGCGGCTGCAGGGCGCATCCCTCGCTGGAGCCGCTCGCCAGCGCGGCGGAGACTCCAGGAACGGGCTCCGAAAGCCGCGGGGGAG